GCAAGAAACCTTGTCCTGGTGACCTCACTTATTTTAAGCCCACAGGAATATTCCCACCTCTACTGATTCCAAGTCTTTTTAGAAACATCATAATTGAAATAGCAGTCATTTTAGTTTAAGTCTCATATTTGGCTTTTTTTTTTAAGTGAAAGACCAGGAGGGAAAAAAGAAACCGAAACAGAGTAACATAAAACCCAGGATAAAGAAACTATATTGCCATGGTTTTTCTAGTCCTAAAGAAAATCTCTGCTTGAGACCTTCTCCTGAAGTACTCAGAACAAGAAAATACAAGCATAGGAATGGTACTAGGTCACCAGAGAGTAAGACCTATGGAAACAGAAGCTCGGTGACTATGGTGCTTGCCAAGCAGATGAAAATGTGAACACAGCCAGGGAGGGAAAGTAAGTTAGATTCTGACAGTTTGTTGAATTTCAGAGCTCTCTAGCCAATGCAAAAGATTTCTTTTAACATTTCTGATTTTTAAAAATTGCCACTACAGTTAATCCAGAAGTAGAGTTACAGGGCACACAGAAAATTTTCAGTGTTAAATAATTTCAACCATACCCATGTTTCATCCTGATCTTTTGTTACAGATCTGACTACTAATTAGCTCCAACACAACCATGAGTCAGGGTCAATTCTAATATGTCCTAAAAGAGACAGTTTTAGAGCTGGGCAGGACTGTGGAGATCATTTAACTGCCTTGTAGGTTTGTAAACCAAAGGCAACATTCGATAAGTGGTTTTTCCAAACTTACTTAGTTAGGAGTAGAGTTAAGACACTTTTGAGTTCCATAAAACCTCACCTTCCTCTACAATGTGTCTTCATTTGTAGAGACAAGTGTATGTTTATATGTGTTTATAACCTATCTTTCAAATATATAACATATCTAACATTCACCATGTTCATTTTGTTGTTGTTGTTCTTACCTAAAAGGTATGTGTATATTTGAATTGTAATTCTGTAATGTTAGGACTCTGCCTTCTCCATCCTATGGGAAATTCCTAGTACCTGTGGTTGTATCAATATTCAGTGAGCAGCAGACAATGATGCAGAGGGGAAGAGGGTTAAGTATGGATACTAATCAAGAGTATGTCTTTTTAATTAAGGTGTGCTAGAACTAGAAATCAGCCACTTTGGTGGTGGATCAGGGCTCTCCCTCAAAGTAATTCCCAGTCAACAGCTGTCCAGGGCATGTCAGACACTGGGTTGTCAGTAAGGAAAGGAGCTTACCCTGAGGAAGTTTTACTCTCCACCACCTACCTGGAGGTTCTTTAGAAATAACTGCCTCTGCTACTACCTTGCCTGAGGTCTTTCCTCCCATCACTTTAGGACCTAACYTGTTGACCTTACTATCCAATTATTCTCAGGGAATTCAGACAGCAGTCATTACACTGGATTCAAGCCACACCCCCACTGACCTGCACAGACACCCTGGCAGCACCCTTCTTCAATGGGCCCAGGCAACATTCCTTCTTAATGAGTCAGCCTTGGGTCTGTCTGTGCCAGAGGCAACACAATCTCTAGAATGCATTCACAGGCCTCTAAGTAAGATGGCCCAAAGATGGGCCAAAACCCAAGGCCCTTATTCTATGCTTCCAAATCTGTGGGGTCAGTTCACTTCAGCTCTCTGTGTGGCTAATATTTAAGAGTGTGAAAGGCAAAGTTACAGTCTCTCTTTTGCATATTCACCAGTCCCCCAAAGAACTGTGATCAGTTCTGCGGTAGCCATGTATTTCAGTAAGTATTCTAAATGCAGGAGACAGTCCTTGCCTAGCTAGAGTGCTTTTGTGTGCCTCAGTTTCTCCTGTATTAATGTCTCCTATTTAATGTCCACAAGAATTGAATGTATATTAMTATTAGCCCACATTTTATGGAAAAAATAAGTGAACAACAAAGATATTAAGAAACCTGTCTTATGTTGCCCCACTAGAAAGGACTAGAAGAAGGTTTGGAACTCTAGCAATCTAAGTTCAGAGTCAGTGTTTTTAGCTAAAATGCTATTTGTTTGATCAGAAGGTCTTCTTCAGACAGCAAAATAGCTGCTACCACCCACAGCTACCCGCTGCCCTCACTACACCAGAACAGAATCTGCTTTGTGCCCAAAGCATCATTTACCTTGATATGGCTCAAGAGCCAGTTGTTCATCATCAATGGTGGCAGAAGACACTGAGGTCCTACTTAATAAAGACCTCTGAACTTGTTATGGGAGGAAGAAGAGGGGATAATACAAAGTAGGAGAAGAAGAAGAGATGGACAAGGAGAAGGAAAGTCATTCCTGATACGTCTTTAAACTATTCAAAGTGAGATCAGAAAAAGACAGGATAAAAAATGAATATCAACTGGAGAAAATATAAGACCATGTAGTAATAAAGCCCATAAGAATGACAGAGCTGGACACAAAACCAAGTTGATCACATCAAAATAAATACATTTCACTAAATATCATTTCTTCTCAGGATCCCCCAGTCTCTCATTAAATTTTGTTAATTCTTAGAACAGCAGAAGTGGGAGATGATAAGATTATGACACATTCTGGGATATAATATAAACATGTTTGAGGTGCCTGTGGAACAGTCCAACACAGATGTTAACCAAGCAGTTGGACATGGAAGTCTGCAGCTCAGGCTTGACTCAGAAGTAATGGGTCTTCATCTCCAGTTCTACCCAAGATACTACACCACCTCCCTCGGCTTTTGGGATATGTCTCAGGGGAAACAAGGAGCCTCTCTTCAGTTTGTATGGCTAATTTTAAAGATTTTGAAATAAACTCTACTCAATGATATTAGCTGATTTTGACTAGTATGCACCAGATGTTGGCACATCTCTCCTCAAATGCTTGTGAGAACTAGTCACTGGAGAGGGTGATCATCCATGAATCTAGAACTTATCTTTATTCCCAGCCCAAGAATGACTGGCCATTGCTTGCTCCTGCCCTTGACCTAGTGAGCAATAAAACATGACCTATCTTACTTGCTCACCAAAGCATGCCAGAAAAAATGGATCTGAAGCTCAGTATGTCCTTTGCTCAAGTTTGCTGATTCCTTTCGGATGTCTACTTTGTAGATGACCCAAAGTGTCCAGAATGTATTATACAAATACCTGCAAATGCCATTTGTTACAGTTTGTTTCAAAATACCACTCACTAGATCTATTTTAATATAAAGTTATAGGCAACTTTCTAAAAGTTTTTATTAGTGCATTATTCTTATACATAATAGTGGGGTTCATTTTGACACATTTATAAATTTATATAACATAATTGGCTCCATTTCAATTCCCACTACTTCCTCTTTCCCTCCCCTCCTCCCTCTCCCTTGACTTTTTTTTCAATTGAGAATTAAAGAATAATAATCATATTTGTCAAATACTCAAGGAAAAGTTCAGGACTTTAGAGAAGTAAGGWCTAGTTCTTGAATTTAAAGCTGAAGAATATCAGAAAAATAAAGTTGAAAATATGACATCCTTTTAATTTGGCTTATGCCAGGGTTTTAGAATGGTCAAGGAGACTCAGTGATAAAATTCTAATGAATTTTAAGAAACAAAAACACAGCTGAGGTTATTTTCTAATCAAAGAGTACACGTGTTACAGGCACCCAAGCAGTTCAAAGGCAAAGCCATCATTCTGCTAGATATGAATGGGACTTAGCAACTCAATTTTCCTCTACTATCTGATCAGTCACCATATCCTTGCTTTATAATTGCTTTATAATGTCCTTTTCCTTTTATTGCCAAGGTCATCCCCCTTGGCTAGATGTAAAGAAGACTGAGGAGAGGAGGAAAGAAATTACGAGTCATGAATTTGACTTGTAATTTATTTTTATCTATCTATCTATCTATCAATTTATTTTGAGGTGGGGTCTTGCAAACTGCCCAAGCTAGCCTCAAACTTATGATCCTAGTGCCTCAGCCTCCTGACTCACAGGGATTATAGGCATGCGCCACCATATCTGGCTAAGAAAGAATTTTAAAAGGATGAATTTGAACTATATGTGAAACTGCAGCACTGTGGCAGGGACAGCTCATTTCCTTAATATACATATTAAACTATACCCTTGCCTCGGGTTGCACTTACAAACTAATTTTATACATTATAATGTAAAATGTATCAATGGACTGCCAAGCAATGCTACAGATGAAAGTAACTATCAAACAATATAAAGTACACACATACACAGAAACTCCATTAATTGGGGAGAAGCCATCCAAATTAAGGGTCAAGCAGAGTGATTAAAGAATCATCAGGAATAAAAATGGATAGTCTGTATAAATGAGGTTATCTTGAAGGAAAATGGAAAGATTTTTGTTAGGACTTACACGAGAAATTTCATGTGTAAGTACGTGAGTTTTACCTTCACGTGCACATGTATATGTATAAAATGTGAGGAGAAGTGAAATTCAAGGCCCTATAGCCTGAGGTCTGCACTGTCTACACTGTCTTCTCCCTCCTCTGTCCTCTATAGTCCCTGCCACTCACTCAGCTATAAAGTAAAGCAGATGTTTCCCCACAAACATTTCAGTTGACCATCTACCGTCGTTCATTACTAAGGAACTTCTTGAGTCTTCATTAGTGTCTGATGCCTTCAGCTAGAGCAGAAGCACTGTGGGGGCTGAAACTGTGTTTTCTTCACAGGTCTTCAAATCCATCACAACACAAGGTTCAGCCCAATAGGTGTACCAATCAGCAGCTATTAATGTGAACACAAGTAACATACAATACTCAAAGGAAAATACATTAAATATGAGACTATTCTGATTTTAATGCACAAGATTAGAAAGGAAGAATTAATCATAGGTGTCTTTTTGCTAAATGCCTTTTAAGAAGATACTAGGACTGTTGACTAGAGGTAAGGTARAATGCAAACGTAAATGGAAGAGAGAACTTCAATAAGGAAAGCCAGACGTGGATACTGGACAGTAACATTCTCCTGAAGCAGATGCAAGAGAGACAAAGGGAAAAAATTAACATTGTTCAATAAACTTCAAATATAAAAACATACCAGTATTTCCTTGGGCATCTTCTACCTTACTTGGAGAGGGCAACAGAAAAGGTGGCCTGGTGAAGGGAGGACCTGGAAGAGAAGGTTGCTGCTGCTGCTGCTGTTGCTGCAAAGGCATGGTTTTGAGGACCATGCGCCAGTCCACTTGGGTAATATCTGACCTTGATCGAGCATGCCCTGGCTTGAAAGTAGAAGTTTCATCCAATAAGTCATTCACAGAACGAGGTCTATCCCTTCGACGCTGACAGATATTGAAAAAATTAAAGGTTGATGCTTCCTTTTGTTCCATCCAGGAAAGATTATCTGGAGTTGTCCCTCTCTGGACCACAAACTGTTCTTTGGCAGGGAAGACATTTTGAGCTTTGGTTTCTATGAGCTTGCTCTTACAGTGGTCCCAGATCATGCCCCCCTTGCCCAGGGAGGCAACATTTCTCATAGCACCATTGTCTGTTATGTTACTGAGTACCTCATGTCCCACCAGTTCAGGGACTTCCTGAATCCCATAAACTTCTGCTTGCTGAACAGCCTTTTCTAGCTTGCTATCAAAAGTACTAAAGAAATCCTCAGTAACTTCTAATGCTGGGCTGATATCATCYACTTCCAAAGCTTCCATTTCACAGGTTCCGAGAGGCCTAGGCCTCCTAAGCTGGTTCAGGAAAGAGCTTCATGAACATTCATCCAACAAAGAGAGTTGCTTCAGCAATAGAGCTATGAAAACCACTGGAAGGAACCTTCGTTCAGTTGCCTAGAAYAGGCCAAGCTCAAGAGTGATTGATGTTTTCCTGGTCATTGAAAACATTTGCTAGCTAACAGAGGTATAGGGAGAGAGGTGTTTCTTTGAGCTTATTCTTCAGTGAAATCTCTTGAAGACAACAGGTAGTGCTTGTCAAAGTAATGCAGTGGCAATTCTTGATTTCCTGGAATAAAATAAATAGGACAACATTGGTACATGGTTCAGAGTACTATAATACTATAATACTCAAATCTGCCCAATTACTTTTCAATCTTTACAACCCTTCCATGTACACAAAGTTCCACTGTCAGGAGGACACATTACTCCTTGCTTTGTACTAGAACTTACACAGAGCAGGATGGAATTCTTCATAAGGAGAAATAAGGCCAATAGCTTTTACTCACACAGAGAAACCTTTGAAAGTAGTTGTGAAAAGACTACCCTGGCAAAAGYTTTGATACATTGTCCTAAAATAGTAAGCAAAAGAGAGTAGCGTTTCTGTGACTGGCCTCTATCATAATTAGTCTGAAAGTCCTAAATGCTTTACAAACCTTGAAAGCACTGATAATCTGCTGGGCTTAAAGGTGCAAGAGGGAAGTAGAGAAGGAAACTCTCTCTTTTTATCAAACCTGAATGTGATTGTGACTCTGGTGAGATTATATAATGCCCTATGATGACTCCAAGACTTCAGGATTCCTCCAGTCTTCTTGGAAACTGGTTTCAGGTTCCAAACTCCCTGAGGCTTCCAGGATTGGCCTCAGAGTACAGGTCTAGCCTGGGGGCGTCTATGGGTTAAGCACAGGCTTTAGTTGAGACCTCAAGCCTTGACCCCTTACAGCTCTGCCTGGGGAGAAAGAATCCTACAGGAAAACCAACTAACTCTGGGAAACACTAGATCTCCAAGATTAGGTTAAATAGAGCAGAACTTGACAATGATGCAATCTAATACAGTAGTACTATGCACATATGGCCATTTAAGTTTAAATTTAGTAAAATCAAAGTCTCTTGGTCACACTAGCCACATTTGCAAAAGTGCACAACATTTGCATATACCTGTGTACCTTTACAAAAATCAAATACATAAACAAAACAGCTAGCCAAAGGTTTTTCYTTCACTGTGAATAAACAAGTAGAATTAGTCAATCAGTAACACCATTACATGTTGCTGCAAAGGTAGACAGACATGCTTTCTTTCCCAAAACGTGAAAATGTTTATGGCTAATTAATTTTTATCACTTAGGTTATTAAACAATTATATCAATAGCACTAATCTACATTGATTAACATATGTAAATGAAACTAGAATATATAAACCTTTGTTTTAGATTTATCAAGGATATGATTCACAGAAACTAGTTAACCTCTTGTAAAGTGATAATGACTATGATGAATTTACTTTTGTATATTTTTATATGAACYGTTAGTACTTCATAAAATTTTTCTAGATACAAAGAGGTTTTGTTGTTTTCCTTTTTGTTTTTTCCTTTTTTTCCCCCCGAGTCTAAAGTTAAGATTTTTGAATTGAGTAACAGGGTTTTAGTATTTCTGTAATTTTGAAACTTGGAATTTTTTCAATTGCATCTTATATACCAGAGACTATGAAAAAGAAATAAACAATCAATCTTAAAACTTCTAATTCCTTCTTTACCAGAAGTTCAAATGAATACAAAATATAAGATTCCCATTTTACAGAAGAGATACTAAGATACAGAGCATTAAGTTAATCCTAAAAGATTCCAGATACTCTTTTTTTCTTTTTTTTTTAACCTCATGTTTCAAATCCAATCTTTAAACCATGCTAGAGAGAAAATAAATACTTGCAAGGTAGGTGGGTTTTTAAAACTTTGTCAAAATATCTAGGAACACACTTTTTGTGCTCTCTGCTTGGGTATTCACAGGCTGGTTAGAAGCAAGTAACTGCTGATGGCCAGCACTGAGGCCTTGGAACTCTTGTATCACACATGGCAACACCACAGACTGTTAAACAGGAAGCAGCCTTGGAAATCATCCTTTCAACCCCAGCCTTTCACAGAAGAGGACACTGAGGCCCRGAGAGACTAAGAGGTCCCGTGAGTGGTATTGTGTTAATTCCTAAACAGGGAAACATGTTCTCACCTCAGGTCTTTGACTATTCCCCCAAATACCAACATGGCCAACTCTCTCTTAAAGTGATTATTCATGTCTCCTTCTCAATGAGGCTTGCCCCTTGAGTATTCTATTTAAATCTAAAACATCTCCATACTGAACTCTTTCCTCCACCCTAAGTGATGTTGAGGAGCAAATCCATAGCTCTGCTAGGCAACTTCTCTACACTGAACTATACATCCCCAGCTCTGCCCTGGATTCTTGATCTCACTTACTCTGCATTTTTTTTTCTGTTGTTGTTTTTATAAATTTTTCATCTTGAAAGAGTTTTAGATCTGCAGAATTATTACAAATATATTAGAGCGTCGTTATATACCTCACACCCAGTTTCCTTTATATAACATCTTACATTGGTATGGCGCATTTGTACAATAAATGAACCAATAGTGACACATTAGAATTAACTAAAACCCATACTTTATTTCAATTCTCTCAATTTCACCTAATGTCCTTTTTTTGTTCCAGAATCCTATACAGGACAACACATGACATTTAGTTGTCATGTATCTTTAGCCTCCTCTTGGCTGTGACAGTTTCTGAGACTTTGCTTGTTTTTGAGGACCTTGCAGTTTTGAGGAAAACTGGTAAGATATCTTACAGAATGTCTGCCTTGTGGGATCAATTTGATGTTTTTCTCATGATTAGACCAGAGCTATGTTTTGGAGAGGAAGACCGCAGAGTGAAGCGCCATTCTCATCATATATCATGATGACATATTATCAACGTGACTATTACTACTGTTCATGTTAACCTTGATCACCTGGCTTGAGGTGCCCTTTTTCCTTAAGCATTTACCACCTTATATTTCCATCATATCACTTAATTTACTTACTTACTTATTTAGTGTTTTTCTCTCCCCACAAAAACATAAGCTCTACAAGTCCATGAATTTAAGCTCATTTTCTTCACCAAGGTATCCCAAGTATACAGAACAGTGTCTGGCACACATGTAAAGGCATTAAATAGATGACAYACACTTTGTTATTCCTTTGCATGGCACTCATGACCTTTCCTGGACTATCCCCCCACCCTACTGCCACCTCACTGTTCTACTCCTCTGTRCTTTTGTTCAGGTTGGRGAATCTTTTCTATTTGCCCAGGYTCTCCTGGCACTCTGGGTTTGCCATATTGTACTGAAATGATGGGACAATTTCTCTAGACCCCACTCTGAGCTCTGTGCAGGCACAGAGCCTTATTCATCCTCCCACACAATCTGTTTTCATCCCTTGGGCTCGGTTTTCCAAACTTCTTCATTTTGTTTTGTTTTTGCTATCAGGCATCATCTTTTCCTGGGCTCTATTGCCCTTAAATAGAGTTTAGTCTCTGTAATTGAATACCTCTTACTAGCCTGGCTTATTTGATTTTGAATCAGCTAATTAAAAAAAAAATAACAACATATTCAGACAGGTTAAAATATTAAGTGATCCTTCCTCTGACAAAGTGAACATCAGTGTGTGGGTACAGGGTGGTGTGCATCAATGCAAAGCTGATGGTGTGCATCAATGCAAAGGGGCCAATTGAACTGTGTTCTAAATTTGGCTCAACCAAACACTTGCTGGGTAGCCTCTGGCAAACCTTTTAACCTCTGGGTGCCTAACTAAACTACCTGTTTCCAACAAAGTTGCTAATATCAAATTGCTTTGCATGTGGATCATTCACTAGGTAGCTATTCTAGTATGCCTTTAAAAATGCAAATTGCAATATAAGTATGGAGCACTCCATTGGATTTGACTCAACAACCATGTGCTCTTGATTTCTCCCTAGATTCATCTGCCTGAGGAAGCAAAGTCAGCAACTGGCTTCTTATAGAACACGACTTCTCAGCCAAATCAGTGACCTATAGATATTTTATCTTATATTTATATAGAATACCCTTTCTATAAAGGRAAATATATCTCCTGTTTAATATGGTTGAGAAACTGAGGTCCATCTGTCAACACAGTAATAAAAGAGCTCAACCCCAAGAATCCCATGCATGTATCAAAATGTAACTGCATAGGAAATCAGCTTAYTGCTATTTTCTAACAAGACAATCTTCCTTACATGCTCAGAAGGCATGGCTAATTAACAGGATGAATACAGCATCCCTCCCACACAGAGGTGGAGCAGACAGCCCTCCCACACAGAAATGCCATGTTCTCCTGAGCTCACTGGCAAAAACGCTGACTTCTTTCCTTGACCAAATGACTTGTAATGAGAATTTAATGAATGCTGGAGGTATCTGAGGCCATGTAGTTTTAGAAGCAGCTGGACTGGACAGAAAAAAAGCAGTGCCAAAGATACCTATGATAACTTGTTTCTGCTAATCCTTTTTCAAAAATTAGAACAAAGGGTGGTCAYAGGGCAGTCAGCACTCATGGTTCTCACATTCTTTACTTCGATTAAAGTTGTGGTTGACTAAGAAATTTCTGAGATGCATAACATGATGGTCCCACCAAAAGAGGATCTGACTTTAGTAATATGACCTCTCTGGACCATGAGGTTATGATTTTTCATGGTGTTTTGTCATAAAGACAATGTAAGTATACTAATGGTGCACAGCCATGCCACAAGCAGATTAGGAAGTGGTGCTGGAGCAGACCTCATATAAAGAGCTCAGGGGGCTTTCAGATGAGATGGACAACTAGAAACACAGATGGCATCCCACTTTTATACGTTTAGAGGAAACACTAAATGGCTGTAGTGTATTCAAATTCCAACAAATGGTAAGACTATTGCTATGCTATTTTTTTGAACATCCCATTCATTCAAATAATTTATATAGTATTTTTTTCCTGTTCTAAATGTAATAAGTACTCATAGAAATTCTGGAAAATTCTGACAAATATGGAAAAGAAAAATCAGTCATAATATCATGACTCAGGGAAAGCAAACTAACAGCGATTTTTTAGCCAGTATTAAATTGGAATCAAGATTACATATATAGTTTGGTCACACTGTCTCTTTAAATACATGCTCCAAAAGTGAACAGCAAGAAATGCTAATGAAGAAGAAGAGGAGAAAGAAGAAGAGGAGGAAGAAGAAGGAAAAGAGAGCAAG